TTCACTCATCTCTGCAGTCAGAGAGCCACATCTCTCCATCTTTCAGGCTGCAGCTTCAGCAAAGGGTTAATCCACAGGCAACAAAACTCTACACACGTGTCAAAAAAAAAACTTTGATTGGCCTTAACAACTACCCCAGCTGCCAGCTTCAGAAGTAGCCTCACTGAAAACAAACTGGAGGCAGTAATGGGCTGGCAGTCAAACAGCCAGGAGCTAAGAATTGTCAGCACACGTGACTTTGAATCACTGCCTTCACAGAACATTGGCACAGGCACAATGGGCTGAATGGCCTCCTTCAGCAATGATACAGCTCTGTGATTCTGAATGAAAACCACCCCAGTCTTTTCAAATGCACAACTTTAAACACAGTAGACAAATCAATCATGTAAAAATTGTGAGATTATATGGAGCAAAATAACCTTATATTATTCACTAGAGGAAGTGGGCATTACTGGTGAGGTAAGCATTTAATACCCATCCCTAAATGGCCTCGAGAAGAAAAACTGCCTTCTTCTTCCACGGCAATCAATGTTTCACGATGATTATAGTTTGTCATAGCAGCTTGGTGAATCTAAATGGCTCGCTGAACCATTCTTGAAGGCACTGCGCCACACCAGGTAAGGATAATTGATTTCCTCCTGTAATAGCCATTTATGGAGCTTATGGATTTTTGATGACAATCTGCAGAATTCCTGGTCACCCATTATTAATACTATCTTTTATTCAAGATTTATTCAATTAACTGAGCTTTAATTCCTCAGCTGCTTTCTAAGATTGAACTCCAGTTTCCAGATTATTAATTCAGGAACTTAACTACATTTTTACCAGAAATTGGTCAAATGTCATTTCTGGCATGTCTTACGGAAGGTTTATCTCCCTGAGCCTGAGTGAGTTGTCTCACAGCATCTTCCCAGACTTGCATCACCAACAACGGCTTCTGTTTTTGTCCCTGTTTTTCCTCCTAGGAATCCTGGCACAGGTATCACTTTTAAAGTTTAGCCATGCACCCAGTCATACACTGGCAGAGCAGATCTACCTCGCACAATTTGTTTTATTTGCCCCAGATATCTTGGACGGAGGGTAATTGGCATCCCTCTTTGCCAATAGAGAGCTGGAGGTCCTGCTAGATGGTGCTGGGGGTTCTGCATGTGGTCATTGCCCGTGGAGCATGCCCTGAAATGTTAGTGGCAGCTGCAGATCCAGAGAAACAAATAGTGAACAGGATTTGTCAGGTTACCATTCTCATTTTCATGTTGGGAATTATCTCCACCTAGTTTCTTTGCAATAGGTCAGAGAATGGATACGACATATCAATGGGGTGAGATAACAAAATGGTCAGGATGTTAATGCTTACCAATGGGTGTGATTAGACCGCTCATCACTCACTGGCAAGAATCTTGTCTCACTGTTCAACACCTGGTTGGAAATGTGAGTTTTTGCTCTTGAAAGCGAGTAGCTGTGCCAGTCTCTCAAGTTTCTTGCCAATGCCCACTTCATTCAATGGCTGGAAAATTCAGTCCTACATTGACATACCAGTTGTATGTGTAAGATCTTGAATCAAGGCTATGTTCTAAAAATAATTGTTGACTAACATGAGTTTTATTCTCCATTGCTAGTTTTTCTTTCCTCTAATGTCCTTTTGTCCTCTCATGAAGGTTAAACTGTTCTAGGATATTGATTAAGAGGTGTCAATATGTTACCACACCACGCCACTTTCTCTGCCTCCTTTGTGTGAAGGAACACAATGTTTAAGTAAAAGGGTTTTATGATTCTGATGTTAGTATGCCTAGACAAATCAATCCCAATATGAAAGCTGGTTTGATAAATCAAATGTTTTATCTTCAAATCTACTGTTACTTCTTTCTTTATTTCTTCAAGTTGTTGATTTTTGATGTCTTTAGACTTCAAGCTTTTTAATTTCTATTTACCTATCCTTTTTCTTTGCCTCTTTCTATTTTAAGCTTTCTTTCTATCAAGGCTCTTTCCATTGCTCTTCCCTTCTCATTTCACTGCTTTTTGTTTCTCTTTCTCTCCCTTTTTATTTTTCTGTTTTTTTTCATTTAAATCAAATTTTTTCACTTTCTTCCTCTCCCTTTTCTCTCAATTCTTCTTTCATTTCTAACTGTATCTTAGCTATTTCTAGTTGTGACATCTTAATTTCTGGTTTTCCCCCTTCTAATTCTAAATTTTGGATAATCACTTCAAGCATATCATATACTGCTTTTATTTGTAGCTTCAAAATATCCAGTATCTCCAGCTTTGGTCAAAGATTTCAAATAATCCATTGTTATGTCTTCTACCTCCAGAAAATAAATGCCTTAGCAACATTCAAAGCCATTTTGAAAGCCATGCTTTAAGTCCAGAATCATGACATACCTGTTTTTTTAAAAGAAACACAGCTCCCCGTATACTCTATAAATTCAAATCCTGATGTAAGTGTCCCCATTTGCTGTGATTCCAGTTGATGATATTGCTGGACAAGTCAGGGTCCCAGAATGAATGCTGGCTTGATAACTCACTTTGTTTAGTTTAATTAGTACCAGTAGTCACTTAAATGTATTCACATGATGTTGACGATTTTCCTTGACTTCCTAACAGAAGTTTATTACACAAAAGAATTTTTAAAAAATCTACATATAGAAGACAGAATAATTGCAAAAATGCACCACAAAATCAAAGTTTCTAGTTGTTTCCCATCATTATATGTTACAAATGGGATGGCATGGTGGCTCAGTGGTGAGCACTGCTACCTCACAGTGCTAGGGGTCTGGGTTCGATTCCACTCTCAGGCCACTGTCTTTCTTCCTGTATTTGTGTAGGTTTCCTTTGGTGCTCTGGTTTCCTCCCACAGTCCAAAGATGTGCAGGTTAGGTGGATTGGCCATGCTAAATTGCCCATAGTGTTCAGAGATGTGTAGATTAGGGGGATCTGTGTGGAAGGGATCCTGTGAGCATCAGCATGAACTTGTTGGGCTGAAGAGCCTGTGTCCACACTGTAGCGAGTCTAAGTCCAAAGAAATTATATCCCCAATTCTTCTAGGATTCTACTTAACTGACCCCTGGTAATATCTTTAGTGTGGACTTGAAAAGAACTCAATGTGTCCTTTCCAAGTCTGCCAACGTGAACGTTAAACAAAGCTGAGAACCTAAACTTCCTCGGTTCTAATGACCTGCAAATTTCAAAACATATTATCCTGGTTTTGAGGATTCACAAACTAAACCTTTCTGCTGAAGTGACTGGTTCCTTGAACAGCCCTGGACTCCTTCTAAGAGAGAAACTTCTTTCTGATTTTAACTCTGATATGTTCTGAACTGACATTCCTCTGAACTGAAAACAAAACCAGTGGCATTAAATGTGTACCTCACTTGTAACTCTGATATTAGACACCACAGGAGGTCTGCAGTCACCTGATTTCAGACAAATGCTGGAGCTAAGTCACTGTTCTGGACTGACTCTGGCAATTTTTTTAAAGTGAACCATTCATAGAAGTAACCACAAACAATTTCCCTCTAGTTTGTAATCTAAACTCTAGAAGTGGTACTAATATATATGTATAGTTTGTAAACTTTTCTTAATTGTACACAAGAATATAAAGCAATCATGAAAAAGGAGTTGAAATATACGTGTCATACTTCTGCATGACAACACTCTGGGAAAAGTGACTTCTGTGCCTGAAATTTTTTTTACATGGAAACAAGTTCTCTTTTAATCAGGAATTGTGAATGGCATCATCAGTGGTCCAGGCTGGTAGGATTTTTTTAGGGTGGAAGAGTGAGGGAGGAGAAATTACAACTGATGTTAGCAATTAAACCAGAAAGAAAACATGCTTCAGTTTGAACAGGGTGTGTGCATTATGTAAGTTTGCAGCAAGGGACTTTATGATGTTGATTTCAGCACTTAACCGATCAGCAATATCTATCATTGTCTCTGAGAGGCAGAACATGCATTTTAAAAATGACATGAAAATTAACAATAATTATGTCTGACTCTTTTATCTTAAAAATAGGTGATTTCTATTAATAAACACGAGTGTAATAAATAACTTATTGTTCCCCAGTGAAACAAATTACTGTTTAAAGAAATGTGGCTCAGCAAGACAAATTGATGAACTGAATGGACTTGAAGGGGTTAAACTGATTTTGCTTGGAATCCAGGACCAGGGATGCAATCCAATTACAACTATGATGTACTGTGTGAACAAGCTGCCATTCTGGAAAGCCAGGAATCAAACACATAGCAGTTCCTCTGTCACCCTCCCAGAACTGCCTGCTTCTTTTCAAATTTGACTCAGAGAACATTATGTGCAGTACAGCACAGGCTGAGAGCTTCTTTCAGACTCTCCACCTAATAATATTGTGATCTTCTTTAGAACAAGCTCCTGCAACATGGCCTGCCATAGGTCAGTGTGCTGTATCGTTCATCCCGTGCAGTGACAAAATAACGTATTACCAAAAAATCCGAATGACTTAGTGGCACTCGAGGGACCACTGCGTTTATAATGTGACAGTCAGAGAGCAGCAGTGTTTGTTAATGACTTACCATACCAAAAGATCAGGCTCTTCCGGGTGCTAACAGACCTCCTCCCATCTGGACCCTGGACCCATCCCATTCTAGCTGTATCGAAGCACGGACCTCACTTCAAATCAGCAGCTCCCATGCTGAAGTGCCCCAGCCTGAATGAATCACAGACATCTCTTGAATATTGCTGATGGAAGGAATCTAGCTGGAGGGGAATCATTAAGAGCTCTGCTAGCCCATAGAGTACAGTTGCTGGGAGATGCTGTGATTAACATGCCGTGAATCTGCCACAGGTAAGTTCTGATTAATTATTATGGTCATTTATTTTCCCTCCCCCAACCCTCTATCAGTTCACAGCTTGCATGCCAGCTTCTATCGCTCCACTGGAGTAGAGTTGTACTGATTATTTTAGTTGGCCCTGTATGTTAGGCCAGAAATAAAGCCCCTTATCTGATGGCCTGCTTTTCTTATCCACAGTCCCAGCTGCAACATGTCTACCACAAAAGCAGGTGATACGGATGAGGTTTTTGGTGAGTAGATGCCGAGGTATTTTTCATCTGAGCCTTTAACCATTTCCAGAAGGCTCAGCAGGACAGATTCCGACTAAGAAGCATGTTTCAGCTCTTGCATCCTGACTGTCTGATGGTAATTTGATCTGATTCACTCAATAATTAAATCATTGTTAGTATATGACAAAGAAATCAATGAAAAACAAACAATTCTTATTGTACGGCACCAGATTAAAACAAAGGTTCTATAAGTATCAATGAGCTACTGATTTGACATCGAAAAGCACAGTGAATAAACTATAAACCATTTCCTGAATGAAGACAAGACAGGATAATAAGGAGCATTTTATGAGATATATATATGTTTGCATTAACTCTCAGAGATAATGGCTGATCTTTTAACTACTTCATGTTAAGTAGGTGATGCTGATGAATTGTTTTTGGATACGAAAGGGAACTTTATTCAGACGGGACAGTACAATTCAGCTTCTCTGGTAGTATTGTGGCTATGCAAGTGAAACAACATGTTGTTCAACATGAAATAGCTTCTGTTTGATATGTTTGTCAGCTTCACAGCTACAAGATTTCTTCAAACATTGATACGATGAAAGTCACTCACTGATATCCATTATATAGTTCATCTTGGTAACAGGCATGTGTTGTTGAGTTGTAGAGATAGCAAATAAAAAGTAGGTGGAAGAAATCAGAAAAGAAAGAATCACAAGGTCAGAAGATTGAACAAGGAGCAGAGTTTGTCAATATTTATGTTAAATGTTTTAGTTACTGTTCACTTCTCTGATGGTGTAACAAGGATCTGTATACTAAACTTCACTCATATCCGAAATAGAGGCAATCATTGTGTAAAATCTTGGATGATTTTATAAAGTAACCTGTAAAATTAATCAAACACATTGTTGCTTTAATGGATTAATGTATTACTTCTCCAACTAGTCTGTGACACTTGTTCCTCAAACATAATTTGTTATTTTCATGTGAACAACTGACCTGCCCCCTTCAGTAGGTCCTACATTAATAAGATCATTGAAGTGTAATACGGTGACTCAGGCTGACAGATTCCCTGTTTCGTTAGCAACAGAAGAACAAGTCAAAGAGGGCCTAAATTGAATTTGGTTAATTCACAGAATATTAACCAAATAATTGGGTAGCTGAAGTCCTCCCAGCCAAGATGATATTATTTTCTATTTGGAAACTGCTGCTTATTATCTTAGCTGAGACTTATTCACATACAATAATAACTGTGCCCCCACATCGTCGTGATTTCCCTTAATACTTCAGCATCCTAACCACCAAATAACAAATGCCATTATCATTTTGCATATTTACCAGCTGCTTTAGAACTCTCAATATTAGTTTGCAAATACTGAATCACTCCTATAACATTATATTTTATATGATACAGAGCAAGGGGGTCTTTTACTTTTCACCATTGGAGCTTCTTGTGGCTAGTATTTTGTTGGAAATGGATAGTATTATTACATTACACTTGGAATTAAGATTTTTTTAAATGAATATTTAAATCCATGCAAATTCTCTACCAATCTACTATTTGTGTACATCATTTCCTCTCTGCTAATGGCACATTTTCCATTCCACAGTTTCTCTGAAAACAGCCACTGATTAAAAAGCCATCGTGATCGCAAAAATGTTAATTGCATTTCCACCAGTCAACCTTCTGTATTAATGTGCAGTTAATAATATGGGCCCTTTGCATGCTGAAAGTTCAGTGGCTCTCAACATAAATTGCACATGTTCAGCATGGATGATAGACCGAAATCAAAGATGTAGGGATTGAAATCAAAGCTTAACCTTGTACTTCTCAATTTTATCCATACAGCTGATGTGTATGCAATTTGTGAGTCCTTAGTGCATTTGGTTGTAGTTTTGGTTGGGCAGATAAGTCCCAGGATCAGTGAGGATATATATATGCTGTGGGTTGCTGCCCAAATCTGCAGTAATGCAACTGAGGCACCTGTCCTAGCTATGACAACTTAGAAGAAAATCTTGGCTTTTGCATCTGTCCTTTCATAGTTTTGCAACATGCTGTTCCTCCAGGGTCCTCAGGAATGCTGAAGGATGTTCTAGACTAATGGTTCTGGCATGGGACTGGCATGAGTTCACATCATGGCATATTGTAACAGTAAAGTTGATAAAGTCATTTCTTGGTTAGCATCAAGAAAAATAACCATGAAAGCTTTCAGATAGTCATAAGAAGTCATTTTATTCATTCATAGGATGTAGGTGTTGCTGGCTAGACCAGCATTTATTGCCCAGAGGGCAGTTAAGAGTTAACTACAATGCTGTGGGCCTGGAGTCACATGTAGGCCAGACAGGGTAAGGATGGCAGTTCCTTCCCTAAAGGACATTAATGAATCCAGATAGATTTTTCTGACAATCAGCAATGGAATCATGATCATCTGTAGACTCTTAATTACAGATTTATTTTTAATTAAGTTCAAATTCCACCACCTGCTATGGCAGGATTTCAATCTGGGTCCCCAGGACGTTACGCAGGTCTCTGGATTAACAGTCCAGTGAATATACCACTAGGCCATTGCCTCCCCCAATTGGTTTGCTCCCTTCAGGAAAGGGATCTTACCATGGCCGATATATGATGCCTCATTCACAACAAAGTACTTAGTTTGTAATATGTTCAGGGAAACTAGCAATGAGCCTGCAAGGTACCTTCTTCTGGGAAGCACCCCCAGTTGTTTCATCCTTACCCTTCACCTATCTTTGCAAACAGAATGCCTGTCAGGGGCCAATCAAGCTATCCTGCTCATTCTACCTATTGATATCTTTTTGGGGTCTGCATGATTAGTAATCAACTCAGCTCTCCACATTTTCCTTCAGGGTGCCAATTCATTCACATATGAAGACCTTGCTATCTATAAGTGATTATGGACTATTGTACAAATATCCTGACTTTGACTGAGCTTAATTCATGCTCATAAATTGCCTTTTACAGAAGTATCCTGGCTTGCCTATACTTTCCAACAGCCTCTCTGCTTAAACTGTTGTGGTGTTCTATTATCAATTTGCTCATTAGCCTTTCTTACTAATCCTCATATCTTTCTCTCTTACAAACACCTCACCCATTTCCACCCTTTACACATCTTCTACAAAATCCTCATTCTCACCTACTTTATGTACTCCTTCAAGTTGCTCCCCACATATCCTCCATCCCTTCCTTGCCCAGTCAATGCAATATGACAGCTGAATTTTGGTGGTTTGTGTTTTTTTTTGACCTTTGTCATTTCCATGCCTTGTCCTCTTTAAATCTTTTCCTCTATATAACGTAGATGTCCATATTCATGGTCTCCTTCTCAACCAGACCATATTATTCATGTCTCTTTACTCCTATTGTCTCAATCACAGACCAAGTATCTTAGGTCACTTGCTTGGATCCCACAGAACACACATCCATATACCTCCATGCCACTCTATTTCCTCCTGTTCACCTTAGGAAAAACTCTTCCCTCAAGTCATATTTGCACGTTAAAGCTGCCAAATAATTAGATTTGGCCTTCCACTCCACTGGTATTTCTGCAGATCCAATGCAATTGGACTGTTCATCTGTTCTCTCACATCTGTGGTATTTACGTGTAGAAGGATGCTGTCACCATTCCTCTTTCCTTGACTGGATCTAAAGGTCTCTTTGGTTTACAGTGATCAAAGAACAAAAATCAATGAGTCTTAACAAGAAGAGACTCTTTACAAGGTGCATTTAGTCCATGAAAGCGATTATGTGTAAGTTCTCACCAGTTAGACAGTTTTACTAAGACTACGAGAGACCTAGCTGAGACCTCGCTTCCTTATGAGATCCAGAGCTGTTCTCCTGATTTCCCCACCAAAGGTGATATGACATCATCAGATCTAGTGGAACTTAATGCTATCTTTAACATTAACCCATTCCGAACCAATATTCCATACAACAACTTCAACTTTGACGTCTCTGCTCCATGAAACCTTTGCTCTACCCTATTTTGCCCTTTCTTCCTAGCATGGGGGAAAACTTCAGTTACTCTACTTCAACGAATGAAGACGTATGCATACCTCATGTGCATTTGATATTGCAATGTATCATCAGATCTGGTTAGTTCACATCAAGCATGTAGTTTTGAGCTGCATTCTTCACTTCAAGAGCAGTGAACTTAACTCCAATTTCTATTCTCCACAATTAACCATTTGTTTAAAACTTTCTTTCTTTTTGTCTCCACCTTAATGTTAAAGAGTCAAACAAACTCACAAATTCTTTGTCACAAGGACTGTCACTATCCATTCATTTGCCTATGTTCCTTCCCTGTGCTACTTTAGCTCTAATCTTGTGTTTAACTGTTGTTTCTTTCCTATTTTCCCTCATGCCTCTCTGAACTCATCTCCTTCCTGAGACATGCCTCGGGGAGAATTTGAACTTTGTGTCTGCTTTCCAGGTTCCATTTTTGGGACTATCATGCATTTCCTAAGCATGCATGAATGTCATCCAATGTGACATTGGGTTGATTATTTATCAGTGATTGGTATTAGACTCCCTGCATAGCGAAGACTATCACACATTTTAGGCCTTCTTGCTGACATTGCAGTTGCAATTTAAAAACTATTTCTTCTTTAGAATTTGAAAAATCAGTTTTGTGTTCAAGAGGAGCAGGAGTGCTCTCCATGATTCTCAGTATCCCTCATCACTTCCCAGATGTAGCATTGGCCATTTGCCTTGACTTATTTTAAGTTGTTACATATGTTGCAATAAGGCCCAATATCAGACCTGCCTGAATATTTCAAACTGGGTGCCTGATCCATGCATGGTGTCTACTTGAGGCCTAGGAATGGATTATTGGAATTTCTACTCCTGTAGTGTATGAATGAGAAAGTTTCGATTGGAGAACATTTCCTTTCTTTCTCCGTTTGGAAAAATAAAATAAACACTTGAATTTAGATGCCTTTTCTCATGACCATCATCAAAGCACATTTCTCTGTTCCCAGGGATGGCGTGAATACTGACAGGA